CCGGAGATCGGTGGTCTTTTGATGCGAGTAGTACTTTCCCATAAACTTTTCATACATGGCTTCCCAATTTGTGAGCGAATTCGGCAGCAACATCATAAACCAAGTCTTGCCTCGATCCTTCAACGTGTAGGGAAAGCATCTCATCCGGAGTTGGTTTTCGGTTAGGCCTTGGAGGGGAAAGGTGTTGACGGTGGAATAGAATTCTCGGATGAAGTTTAAGGCATCTTCTTGGGCTAGGCCATAGAATGAGGGTAGTTGATTTAGGTGGATGGTCTTTAGGTCGTAGTTTCGGGCCGCCTCCCCGAGCACGAGGCACGAGGTGTTGTCTCCAATGATAGGTCGTGCAAAGTACCTCATGTTCGGGGGAGGTGGTGGTGGCAATTGCTCTTCTTGTCCCGCCATGGATTCAGTTTCGTGCTGCGATTGTGGTTCCTCAATATTAAGCTCAACGAAAAGGTCGATCGATGGTATCTCCTCTACGGGTGCACGCCTTCGTCTACCTCGCATAAACAAAACCACAAACTATACCTGCGAACGTATCAATGGGAAACGAGATAAAGTTCAAGCAACAAACACAAATTATCGACAAAAAGCAAGAGAAATCAAGAGAAACGCGGAAATTAACCAAGGTTCACAAAAATCAAGAGAAACACAAGAAAAATAGACAATCAAATAGCAAATTAGGCATCCTACTTGCCTTCCCCGGCAACGGCACCATTTGTTTAGTAAAGAATTGATGGGCAAGGGATAACCGAGCTACCTGACTCGGGTCGATCTCGAAGGAAGGCTATTCGGAGCTTTATCTACTAAATGATCGTCCAAATCACAAAAAGGGAAAATAAAATCCTAAACATTCTAAGCCATTGATTGGATGGTTGATTAACACTAATCGAGCACTTAAAAACGAGCAATTAATTGAAAGCAAGATCAAAAGACGAGCATTTCGCAAACTAGATCACCGGAGTCTCATGCCATAACCAATTCGGGATGATAATCAATCGACATACGGAATAAATGAGCTACGAGCATTAGATTGCTAACCCTAGTCGTCTAACCGAGATCAACAAGTAATTAACGGCTCTATCTACTCAAGCAAGCAATCAAGTTCAAGCATTTCCACCATCATCAATCAAATCCAAATTTACCTTAATTAACATTAGGGTAAAATACTTTTTTCCATCCGAACTATCACGATTTTGGCGCATCACCATATAAACTATTTTTTTGTACAAACCACCATATGAACTATACGGGATTGTCAATATGCCCCCTAAACCGGATATAAAAGTGGTTTAGGGGGCATATTGACAAACCCGTGATAGTTCATATGGTAGTTTGTAAAAGTATTTAGGGGGCACATATGGTGACCAAACAGCTTTTTCAGTCAAAACCACTTTTATATCTGGTTTAGGGGGCACATTGACAAACCCGTATAGTTCATATGGTGGTTTGTACAAAAAAATAGTTTATATGGTGATGCGCCAAAACCGTGATAGTTCGGATGGGAAAAAGTATTTTACCCTTAACATTATAAGTAAAAGCGGAGCAAAAACCGAAGTAAAGAGCTTTAAAACTAAATACTCATTCTTCCATTGCGTAGACGATGAAAAACGGAGTCAAAAGTTCGAAACTTGAAAGAAACCGAAGTCGCCGGAAAATCTCCCGGAAAATAGCCTAAGCTCCTAATCTAGAGAGCAAAAATAAAACATAAACTAATTTCCCTAAGTGGGAAAAGTGAAAAATGAGAGATGGATCCCCAAAATACAAAGGAAGAAAAATATTTATACTCCACTCCAAACACACACTAGAAAAACGCACACTTAATGAGACACTCTCGACATCTCCACAGAATTCGCGAGCACGCAAGG